AAAATGTTGTCTGTCTGTTAGTATTTTCCTCCTTTTATTTCTAAAATAAAAAAAATAAAAATTAAATAAATAAATAAAAATGGAATTACCTTATGTTTTGTAAGGATTTGCTTTATAATACTATACACTTACAAATTGTAAGTTTGTTCTAAAAATTATGTAATATGCCTGAAATTTCAAATATATAACACTTAGATAATTATCTATCACTTTTAGAAATAATTCTTTTGCTTTTATAAAAATCATTTTATTATTTTAAAGAGAAAAATAAAAATAAAACAGACTATCAAAACAAGACAATAGGAGAGTAGCAATAATAAATGCATTGCATATTGTTATCTTCATAATAGTTACTCAGAGTAGGAGATATAGGCAAGAAATAATTGTTCAAATAATATTAGCACAAACCCTTCTTTTCAATAAAGTAAGGGAAACCAGCTGGATAGCAATCTTAACTATTTTGTGTATATTAAGGATATTCATTTTTGGAGGCAGAAAATAAAATTTTATTGAAAAGTCCTATAGAGTTCTTGATACCACCTTTTATTGTTTCTTTAATGTGGTGCTGGAGGTTGATCCAAAGAGCTTCACACTGAGCTATATCCCAAGCCCCTTTCCTTTATTTATTTTTTACAATCCAAGAGAGGTTCTCATTAAGTTGTTAAATTGCCCAGGCTTGGCTGGCACCTGTGATCCTCCTGTGTTAGCCTCCCTGAGTGCTGGGATTATATGCACCATCATACCTGGTTAACCTTCTGACCACATGGTGAAGTTATTATTCAGTCCTGTGCTGCATACCAAAGTTTCCGTCAGTTATGCATCACATACTAATGATAGCCTGATAAGATACCATTTAGTGTCATTGTCACTTAGTCTCTATGAGTATACCCTACAATGTGCACACAACGATGAAACAACACATTTCTAAAAATTTATCTCCATGACACGTAACTGTCACGTGTCTTGTTTTCAGAGTACAGCTGTAGGCTAAAGCCAGGGAGAGCCAGTGGGCAGTTCTGTGACTTCAAACAAGTTACAGTTCCTCTAGGTTTCAAGTAATGATGGATTATAAGAAGATTGAGCCCTGTGGGTGCTAAGGTGGTTTCCCCTCTGAAATTTAAAGTCATGATGCCCTGTATGTGTTTTGACTTACTAAAGAGATGCTGGTGGATGGAACCATCAACACTGAGCATTAGGACCATGCAGGAAGATAAATCAGGATTAGCAGGTCATGCCTGCAAGAATGGAATATTTAAATAAGGAAACGTGAGAAGATTTGATGAGTTAAAATTTACACCTCTGGATCCAGAGTTTGAAAACTCAGAAGCAAGGGTAGATAACACTACTGTGGGTGGTTGCTGCACTGTGATCAAAGGGTCTTTGCTTATCACTTGCATGTGAACCTTTCTAACCAAGTTGTTAGCTGCATCGCATAAGTCTGCCTGGGAGCCTGGCCTTTGACTTGGGGTGGACTGAAGTACTAGGAATACCTGGCATTGTGTGATATTAATGGAAAGTAAAAGGTTCTAATATGCATTTATATACAGGATATTTAGTAATTATACTTACAATGAAAACTGTACCAGAAGAAACAATATTAGCTTGCAGAAAATAAGAATGCAGTGCAGTATAAAGAAGTTTTCTCTTACAAAAATAGTTACTAAATGTCACACCGAATACAGATAAATATTCCGTCTAGTTTGGAGAATGTCATTTACATCATTGCACCCATGATAAATCAAAAATTCTAGTATTAAGATGAAGGGTTTTACAGAAGAGACCCAGAATAGCAAAAGCAATCCTGGGCAACAAGGACAAGTCAGGTGGAATCACAATCCCTGACCTGAAATTATACTATAAAGCTACTGTCATAAAATCCACCTGGTACTGGCTAAAAAACAGGCCTGAGGATCAATGGAACAGACTGGAAGAAACAGACACATCCAAAAACACACTCAACCACCTCATCTTTGATAAAGGGGCCAATCAAACCCACTGGAAGAATGATAGCCTCTTCAATAAATGGTGCTGGAAAAATTGGCTTAATACCTGCCAAAAACTGAAAATAGACCCAAGCCTATCACCATGCACCAAACTCAAGTCAAAATGGTTCACAGATCTCAATATTAAACCAGAAACACTAAATCTATTGGAAGAGAAAGTAGGTAAAAACCTCGAAGACATAGGGGTAGGCAGAGAGTTCATGAATAAAAACCAAATTGCACGTGAAACACTTGAAAGAATCAACAACTGGGATCTCATCCTACTGAAAAGTTTCTGCACATCTAAAGAAATCAGCAGCAGAGTCAAAAGAAAACCCACAAACTTGGAAAAAATTTTAGCTGATTGTCCCTCAGACAAAGGGCTTCTATTTAGAACATATAAAGAACTGAAAAATTTCAGCCCCTCCAAATTCAAAGACCCAATCCAAAAATGGGCAGTGGAGATGAACACACATTTCTCAGACAAGGAGATACAAATGGCAAATAAATATATGAGAAAATGTTCAACATCATTAGTCATTCGAGAAATGCAAATTAAAACAACACTGAGATTCCAGCTTACCCCAGTAAGAATGGCTAGCATTAAGAAATCAACCAATAACAAATGCTGGCGAGGCTGTGGAGAAATAGGAACCCTTCTCCACTGCTGGTGGGAATGCAGACTGGTGAAACCACTGTGGAAATCAGTTTGGAGATTCCTCCGAAAACTAGGTTAGAGGTCCCATTCAACCCAGCTATCCCCCTGCTGGGTATTTTCCCAGAAGATCTAAAAACATCATATCACAGTGATATATGTGCACCTATGTTCATAGCAGCACAATTTGTAATTGCTAAAATGTGGAAACAACCCAAATGTCCATCCACCGAGGATTGGATAAGAAAATTATGGTACTTTTATATAATGGAATATTAGCTGTAAAGAAAGATAAACTCAAGGCCTTTATATTTAAATGGTCACAACTAGAAACCATACTCATAAGTGAAATAAATCAAACATACATGTGCAAGCACCACATTGTGTCACTAGTGTAAAACTTGAAAGAGTTAATTTAAACTCGGAGGTATGATAGACACTGTGAAATTAGGAAACCACTGAAGAGTAAAGGGCTTCTGGGATGTGGGAAAAGAGAAGGGAAAGAAGGAGAAATTTTGTATGTATGTATATACAGGATAGATAACATGGTTGTTCTTCTGTCTTCTATTTCTATGCTGAAAGAAACTGTCAATGAGTCTTTGGTTGACCAGTATTGCATGTTTATATCTGTTTTCATGAGAAGCCACTTTGAAGATATCAATATGTAATACAACCACCATTGTTAATTCCCTACCACTTTGTTTGTAACTCTGTATTGTCTGTATTGTGCTTGTGATATGTTGTAAAATGTTGTATGTCTGTTAATGTTTCCCTCCTTTTATCTTTAAAATAAAAAAAAAAAAGATGAAGGGTTTTAGCATTAAAAATCTCAAATTAGAGAGAAAATGCAAAAAAAAAAAAAAAACTGCTAGCCATATCACTTTGAGCCTTACTTCCCACATTTAAAAAGAATGGACCAAAAGTAGCCATCATTCATCATAAGCACCCTAGAAATGAAAGTTATTATTTTTAGAATCTATGTAGTTTTTCTTTAAGGAAGAAATTTTAAGAAGACCTCTTAGAGGTCTCCCCAAAATAAGCATGTTAAGAATTTGTAAATTGAGATTTCTGTCAACTAAAAGAAAGTTTAGTTAAAATTGCTTTCTCTCCTACTTTCCCAGTGTCTTTTCATGAATAGTTAGTATGAGAGGTAATTGATACAGTGATATATACGGACCCATCATAGGCCAAAGTTAAGCCGGCAACTGACTTGGGATCACAGAATAAAAGAAGGTATATCATGTGGCATGCGAAGCTCATTGCCGCAGTAAAAAATGAATATTTGGCAATTCCAACCGTGGTCATTTTGAATTTTTTAATGAGAAATCCTCCTAACAACATTCCAATTACCATAAAAGGTATGGTTAGGGCTCCTAGAAATAAAAGAGAGAAAAGTTATAGTTATATAAATGTTTTTTTCTGATTTGTTTTCCACATGGAATACAGCATATATCAACTGAATTTATCGAAATGTATTACTGAAGTACAGTGGAGATAGAGGACAAGGGAATCACATAAGAAAGATAGAAATAATTTCATCCTACAAAGCTCAATGTGGTGGTGCATGTTTGTAATCCCAGCACTGGGGAGACTGAGGCAGGAGGATCACCACAAGTTCACAGCCAGCCTGGGCTTCATAGTGAGTTCAAAGACAGCCTGGAGCACATAGTAAGACTCTGTCTAAATATTTTTTTCTTTTCCTACAATGGTTAGGATTTTATTTTCTCAATAGGAAAAGGCAATAAGAGAACAGTTGTGTATAAATAGATGATTTCTAGGAGGGTCATTTTCCTGGAAAATAACATACCGGTTTTTTCTATATAAGACTTTGTACTATCATCTAAAATTCTTTATAGTTTTCAAAATGAAGAGTTCTAGAATTAAAAAACCCACTGTAAATTTGCCCAGTGCTTCAGATTTGAATACTTAAGTTAATGTCTGTTTCTTATTCAGTAATACAGTTAAATAATTTGGTTTATGTACCGTATTGAAAATGATTGATCCCCATTACAAGGTTTCCATTTCATTTTCTTGCAAGAGTTACTAACGAGGAAGATTCCTCTATTGGAAACATGCTGGATAGGCTATTGCCAGTCAAAGTGTAACATTTACAGTTTAAAACTTTAATTAAATTCAACAATACCATCATATAGAATTCTGATGCAGTGGTTTCGGAAACTCATTTTCAAATTATTCTTTTCTTCTTTACTTATGATTTACTCAAATACTACTTGATAATTTTAATTCATCAAATATTTATGAAGTATCTATAATGTTTTCACAATATTCTAGTTGTGACAACAAGGATGTAAGAAAATTTTTCCATAATAAGCAGATCTTGAAGTGATGGAGGGAGGAGTAGGAAAGGGGATAAAAAAAGAATTAAGATGTGTTACATACATGTGCCAGCTTCCCATGTGAGTATAATCATGTACTGGAAACATATACTCATAATAGATAAAAAACAAAAAAATAAAATGCTAGCAGCTCTCCATGTGCCATTGAAAATATGCATTTTAGAATAAAATGTTCTTTATTTTATGATGTTTGTCTTGAGTGAGTCATATTTTGATGGTGTATTTAAATAGTTTTTTCTTTGGGAAACATCAGCGTCTCATTTTTTTTGTAAGAAGCTGAGTTCTGATTTCAAGCAATATGCATTATAGAATTACAATGCTAACATCACCAAAAAATGTATCTTGTAATATCAGTACTAAATTATAAGATCTAATTATGTAGATACCATACGTGAATGCTTTATTCAACATGCAACTTTTCCTTTAGAAATTTCTAGACCATGAGATGAGACTTCAAATGCAAAATAATAGTGTCACAAGCTTGACAAATTTAATGGGATTTGAGAAAGAGAAATAATGGCAATTATTCACTGAAATATAAAATCACATTCACAGTAAAACCTCACTTGTAATGCAATGATTTAATAATATATCATTTATCAAGCAAACAGGTAAACAATATGTCTTACCTAACAAGTTAGCTTGAGATATGGCATAGCCATACTGTTGTTCTACATATTTGAAGATATAAGTAAAGCCACCAACGAAGCCACTGAACATCATCAAGGTCAAAATCACAAATATAATGTATAGATGATTGGTAAGGAGGTTTTTCATGGACTTTAAAAAATCTTAAAATTATAAAAATGATGAGATTATTATAATGTGATATAACTATATATTAAAATCATAATCATGTGTCATAAGATTTTAAGTTACACAAATATATAACACAGAAAGTGAAAGTCAACTGAAATCCTATTGACAGATTTTTAAAATATATTCCTTCACTGTTTTCCATACATATCTTAGGATTTATTTGTTTAGTTGATTTTACCCCTAAATGAAATCTGTTTTATAACTTGCTTATTCACTTAATATTTGGTTATTCTTTATGTTCTATCCCAAACTTCATAATTATTAATTAACCAATTGATTTCTTCAATAAATATTCAGCATTTAGTTTAGTATGACACAATATGCTAATTGTTCACAAAGCAAAGTGAATCTGACATGCTACGTCTCTTATGCATTAGTATTCAGTGATTGCTGTGCTACTAATACACGGATTGAACAAAATTTAAATTTAAAAAAAAGACAGAAAAAGGGGCTGGGGATTTAGCTCATTGGCACAGCGCCTGGCTGGCAAGCATAAGGTTGTGAGATCGATTCCCGGTACCGGAAAAAAACCAAAAAGAAAAAGAAAACAAAATTTAAATTAAAGCATAGCCTCAAATGGACAGAAATAAGAACGCTAAGGTTCAAAACTTTTATAGAAAAGTTTGAAATGAGGATTCAAACATTCTGTTACCTGGTATACAGTTTTTCTACCCCCCATAAATGTATTATTATAAATCATTTGTTTCAAGGTGCAACAGTAGCAACAGTAGACAGTGATATCATGTCTTAAGTGACATTATCACAAGAATTGTACAACAACATACACACAGATGTGCAACAAGTTCATAACTTATGTCCATGGCAGAAACTTTGTGCTCTGATTCTGCGACCACTGGGTCAAGTAGGTGTAACAGGAGTTAAAAGATCGGAGGAACTATTTAGAAAAGTAGGAGGACTTATCAGAGATAAACAAGAAAAAACAGACCTGATTATTGGCATTGAAGATCTTGCTCTTTACATCTTTAAAGATTTTAGTTAATACTTCCTTCTCATGCTAAGAAATAGTTTTATTTGCATATAATAAGAAGAAAAGGCCACTAAGGCAGAGGGCACAAAGAGAAAAAAGAGGAAAGAAAATGTATAGCAACAATAAACATTGAAAATGGTAAGTCCAAAATACTGAAGTTCTCTTTATAGGAATACCCATTCAGGGAGCACCATTGCTGGAGTGTGAAGCTTTCTAAATGACTTGTGACATTTGACTGAAAGAAGTGGAACTCACAAATTCACCAAATCATTGACTTGTTGAGGTGAATGGGAATTTAAATGTCATCTAATCTGAACTGTCACAAGATCATGATTCATTATGTATTATTGTTCGCATATTTGCAATGAACTAAAGCCTTGCTTTACTTATTTCTAAACCAGTCAGTTCTACCCAGGACCATATAGAATAAATGTTTTCTCATCTGATGTTATGTTCTTAGTTATTTCACACCTTTCTACTAGTCACATAACTAAGGTCCTCTGTCCTACTCAGGTCGTTTTCCTACATAGTTTAAAATATGGCTCATGTTTATAATTATCCTATTTTTGTAGTTTCATTATTGTCTCTCTTCTTTTTTCAGCATACAGTGAAATCTACTTCTTATAGGTATAGGCAATCCAGTAATGTTTATGGATCTGATATGGTGAAGTGGAAACATAGTTTATCCAAAACGAACAATTTTGATATATTATTATTAATGTGCACGTTAATTTTCAAAAACTGCTGATTCAGTGGTGTATTGGCAAATATTTAACAACTGTCCCTGCATTAACATATCCTTATGTGTATTATTTTCCAATTTCCACAGTAATAAGTGGTGACAAATTCTCCAACAGTGGCCAACTTTGAGACACTAACATAGTTGAAAACAATAGTTCTTTTCCATGAGCCAATATAAGATGGCTCCAACACACCATTTTTCTTGGTTTAAAGTGATGGAGAGAAGAAAATTACAATAAAATTGATAAACTGTAGAACTGAGGAGTAGTAGTACTTGGGCTATACTTGATAATTTGTAAGACAATCTCAATATCAACCTTAGGTTGCTTAGGGTTTAGGCATTGCATGATTTTATCATTTGCTATTTTGCCACTTTTCTTCAGTGTGAAAATTGCTGTCAACACTTCACCATTCCACTATTTTGTCTGCCTGCTGCTGTATTATTCTCTTGGTTATTACTTCCCAGGGGTTCTCAACTATTCCTAAGGGCTTATGTTTTAAACAGAAGCCACTGTCAAACAGAGAAGAGTCCAAATTCATACTACTGACTCCAATTATTCAAGTGTGTTACTGTTGCAGAAACTATAATAAACTGGATGGAAAATGCTTTGCACCAAGGAGTTGGAAAACAACTTTCATTAGCACTAGTGAATTGATGGGACCTGAGTCCAAATCATCAGCTCTGACTTAAAGTGAAACAGTAATTTATATACATTTTGTAAGAAGGAAATACAAAGCCAATAAAGGGTTAGTCCATAATTGGTTATATATACAGGTTAGTCTATAATTGGCTACATATATTGAGTCATATGTTGTCAGGCAGATGTGTCCTGGGGCAAGTTTAATTGGAGGGGGTTATTTATATGAGGCAGGAAGATCTGGGGGAAGTCAGTCCCACTCAAGCAAGCATGATTTAGTGTGATGTTGACAGGGCTAGTCTACCTCTGGTAGATAGTTCTTGAAGTAAACTAGCAAAATAGGATATTTGTGTAGGCCATTTTGTAGCTGATCAGAAAGGTCTAAGTCAGTTTTATCTCTGAATTGCAGCTGTGTAGTCAAGGTCAGTTGAGACCAAAGCCCCATTATGAAGGTATAGTTTTAAATTTTCTATTACATTTAATTTCCCCTTACACTACTACTTCCATTATAAACATTTTGTAAATAATTTTTCAATATAATTGCAAAGAAAAAATCTTATTGCAGTTACCTAGAGGGAAACTTCTCCCGTGTTCCTGCTTATTCCATGTTTCCACCTGAAAATTCTTACATTTAAACTGACCGTGGTTCTTAAAAGAGTTAATTACAATTGCCTCCATATTCTCAGTATCAAAAAAATTCTTGGAAAACAGAGGCCATGTTCTATCACAAGGGTATACTGTGGTACCTGGTACCAGTTGGTGAATAACTAAATGAATGAAATATTAGAGTTAATTTACCTCAACATCTATATTATCAAGTTTTGAAATGAATACATACTCTTTGTTTCATACGGCACATTGTTTTAAGCATTTGGTTGTTTCTCCATGCTAAAGACCACATCCCCTTCACTTTGTTCTATGTTCAAGTAAAAATCTACAACTTTAGTAAGAATCTGAGAGAAATAATTCAGCTACATTTAGTGCCCAAGGAAGTTAACTCCAGATGATTTCAATATAAGCTATTATTTTGTGATACTCAATCTTCATTTCCATGAGGACTAAAAATTACAAATTGACTGTAAATTTAAAATGCTTACCTGTCATAGTTAAAGTAACATGTTGCACATGATTGCTCGAAATATCTGTTTGATTTTTTTCTTCATCTGTTTCGAGTCCATGTGAGTGTGTTGAAGCTTTTCTTTCTTTCTCTGGTTTATTTGGATTTCGAGGTAGGAAAAAGAATGGTATGGAAGAAATAATGGAGAGTAGTCCAGATATAAGGAAACCAAGCCACCAAGCACCAACCCAGCGGGAGTCCTGGGGGGTTATCCTGATGCTGCCTAGAATAAATAATTAGGAAAAGGCCAGTCAAAATCATTCTGAAATACAATAAGTGAACAGTATTGATAATGACTGTTGTCCTCCATAGACGAACATAGCAATCTACATTTCATTAACTCAAAAATGTTATTTTCTTCTTTTCATATTTTGCCATCTTGGAAATTAGCATAAGTTCGACATTTGATATTTTATACTTGCTATTGTTTAAGGATCAGTCATAGCAGTGCTGTCACACTGAGCTTATTAAAACTTGATGGCTTTTCCAAGGACATGACAGAAGAACTGACAGTGTTGGCTCTTTAAGTCTTAAAATGATTTCCAAAGCATGGGCAGTGTATGGATCTTCATCGTTGTGTGGAAACATCTATTAGTGAAATCTGCCGAGGCTGAGACAGCACCACCAATAAAATTTAAAGAAATTTGCAAGATAGTCTCAAAGCCAATAGAAGGGCTTCTCCCCTCCCCAGAAACATATGTTTACAATTCCCTTGATGGCACAAAGGATGAAACTGGCAAATAACACACTCACTAAAAATCTGTATTTAAAATTAACTCAGAAAAGTTAGACTCTTGATAATAGAAATAATTTAGCCATTTTATTTCAACTTTATTTTCGTTGAAAGTATGCATGTGAATGCTCTGGTAGTGCTATATACCAAGTACAAATAAGTTACTTCTGTAAGTAGAAAGTAAACTCTAAGTATTGAGAAACAAGAATACACGAGATTGCCACCAGTTTGCAGGAAAGGAAGGTATAGACTCCCCCTCTTCCAATGAACACAGTGATTCAACAGTAACACACAGATTCTTTCTATTTTTGAGAAATCCAGAATTGAAAGGTACTACTGTCCCTAGAAAGTACAAAACCAGCTACATGAAAACCAGTACAAAGTGGAAGCACCTAGTATAGTGTCCTAATATTGGGAAGAACTAGTAATCTGAACTCGTGTGTAGACATTTGTTACAGATTTTTCCCTCTGGCAAACAGGGTGAATGAGGAAGGAAAGAGATGGAGTGCACATTAAAACTGCTACTTCCCCAGGTGCTACCAAGGGACTGACTCCCATCTCACTTATTTTAGAGTGGTGACAGAGGTGATGCAAAGAACAAATGTAGCAGTTCAAAGTAGTGCCTGATCACACACCAACTCTTGTCATGTGGGTTAGTACAGAGTGAGTAGGTAAAAAAATAAATAAACAGTCCAACTTTCCCATGGGGAAGGAAAGGGTTCAATCACATTTCATCTTTTCTGGGTCTTACTAAATGTATTGGCCTTTGTCTTGCCTGCCTTGGGACTGGGCATATATGGGCCCCCATGGGTGCCACAAAGAACAAAGATGGCGGTGTGAAGTAGTGGAAGACCACTTGCTATATGCTCTCCCCTAGATCTACAAAGAGTAAGAGATAAAAAACAAGCTCCCAGATTCCACCTGGGGTGAGAAACAGTTGAATGGCAGGTGAATATTCAAAATTTTATGAGAATTAGCCAATCGACTGGTTTTTATTTCATCTATTGTCTTAGTTATTTTCTCACTGGTGGAATAAAATACCCAACACTCACAAGTTAAAGGAGGAAAGGTTTATTTTGGCTTACAGCTTGTAGAGGTTTCAGCCCATAGTTGACTGGTTCCAAGACAAGATGGCATGGCAGAGGAAGAAAGTGCATGGCATGACTTACGGGGCAGGGGGGCAGCATCCTCCCTTTCCCTTTCTCTTTAATTCCATTAAGGTTACAAGCCTACTCATTGGTACCATTCACACCAGGGCTTGCTTTCAGTAAATCCATTCAGCCACACTCAGAACTATGCTAAACCAAGTAGTCAACTAATAGAGTACTATATGTCCTTAATCCCTGGGTCATATACCCATGATCCAGCCACTTCTCTAAAGCCCCACCTATGAAGGTATGTGGCTTTGGGGAACATCTAAATACAAGGTTGAACACCTATATAGTGTGGTAAGGGGACCCTGCATGCTCCACATGGCTATGGGTGCCTAAAAACAAATACAGCATTTTGGAAAATGGTGAAGTTTTAACACACACAGAATCTCTGGCTACATGAGATACTTCAAAGAATCAACAACTGGGATCTTGTCCTACTGAAAAGTTTCTGCACATCTAATGAAATCCCCGGCAGAGTAAAAAGAAAACCCACAATTTGGGCAAAAAATTTTAGCTGACTGTCCCTCAGACAAATGTTTTCTATCTAGAACATGTAAAGAATTAAAAAATATCAGCCCCTCCAAATTCAAAGACCCATTCCAAAAATGGGCAGCTGAGATGAATAAACACTTCTCAGATAAGGAAATACAAGTGGCAAATAAATACATGAGAAAATGTTCATTAGTCATTTGAGAGATGCAAATTAAAACAACACTGAGATTTCATCTCACCCCAGTAAGAATGCCTAGCATTAAGTAATCAACCAATAACAAATGCTAGCGAGGCTGTGGAGAAATAGCAACTCTTCTCCACTGCTGGTGGGAATGCAGACTGGTGAAACCACTGTGGAACTCAGTTTGGAGATTCCTCAGCAAACTAGGTCTAGAAGTCCCATTCAAAATACCTCTCTGTGTATTTTCCCAGAAGATCTGAAAACATCCTATCACAGCCATATATGTGCACCCATGTTCATAGTGGTGCAATTTGTAATTGCTAAATTGTGGAAGTAATCCAAATGTCCATACACCGAGGACTGGATAAACAAATTGTGGTATTTTATATGATGGAATATTACTCAGCTCCAAATAAAGATAAACTCAAGGCTTTTATAGGTAAATGGTCACAACTAGAGACCATATTCATAAGTGAAATAAATCAGACCTGCATGTGTAAGCAACATATTGTCTCACTAATGTAAGAACCTGAAAGAGTGAATAAAAACTAGGAGGTATGATAGACACTGTGAAATGAAAGGAAAATGCTCAAAAGTAAAGGACAACTGGGGTGTGGGAAAAGAGCAGGGAAAGAAGGAGAAATTATGTGT